GAGTACAATCTATATTATAGTTATAGGCCTACTTACTTATCTTATTAGTATATTACTGTGTTGTTAATGTTTGATATTTAGGCCCATTTAAAGGTTTATTACTATTTAATTAATGGATCACATATTTATTTAGGGCCTAACAAGTTATTTATAATAATACTATTCCGCCGTAAGCGATATTAAGTAGGCCTATTATAAACCTACATAATAATATGTAGTATAGGCCTAGATCTAGATCTATATGTTCAAAGCTGGTGTTGTTACTCTACTGAAATAGAACCATACTGTCAATTATATCTCAATTATGGCAGTTAAGTAAGGCCTACCTTTCTCTTAACTTAATAGTTTTAATAGTGGTTGCATCTAACTTACACCTGCCCTTTTTTTATTTAACATGTAGGCTAATCAGAATGCTATGTATATCATGCACACATTACATAGTTATTAGAGCCTTGTAGTGTCTACTACATTCAATGTTGTAACACACAGCACACATACATACAGTAGAGTACATAGTCAAAGAGGTAATTCATTGATAATGTCATACTTTGAATTATGCTAATTTTTAACTCCACCCCTACCCTACTGTCACACTTTCCCCCACCCCCATTCGCTAAGAAATCTGGTTTGTTCTTAAACTTAATTTATTGTTGTAAGGTTTTCTTACAACAAATTTAGGTATCAAGTGTCAACATGCTATGCGCCATATCACCAATTGACTCCAATGTCAGCCTGCTTTTTTCTTCTGAATTTGCTTTCATTGTCTTTGTCCATTCAAGAACAAACTACCAGGCAACATTTGTTTGATTGTGGATTTTTCCTCTCCTAAATTGGTCACTGTCCCCATCTATTAAGCTGCATCATTGGCCAGTTTTTTTAACTCAAGACTTTTTGGTTTAGCAACAAAGAGCTTTACTGGCCTGACCATGCCAAACCCACTCTGAATAAATATATCATGTTTTCATCAGTGAAAAATACAACATTAATGTATTGTCACATTCTCTCCTCCACCCCCACCCCCACCCTTCTCACAATTTCAATGAGTTCTAGATAGTTTAGATGTTGTACTTGAATGGTTTCAATTGAGCCCTTATATCTCATACTTGCATTTGAGACTTAAGTCAGAATAGTGAAGTACCATACTTGTGTATAATAGGTGCCATTAATTAGCTATATCTAAGAAAAGTATTTTAGTAGCCTACCTATATACTCCACAAAGTAATTATAACAGATCTACTGTGTAAAAATATTATTTACACAGCAAACATTATAGTCAATAATCAAAATACTGAGGTTTAAGAATATAGTTTTAATTATGTTCTTTAGATATCGACTATCAAGGAGTAGGCTATAATATAGGGTATGCTACTAGAGAGAAACTTTAAGGAGGATATATATAAAGATAGATACTGATAGATAAGATTCTATAAATCTAACAGTATGGGTGTCAAATCAGAAGTTATCTCTGCCCATAAAAAGAGGTTCCCATTTCAGATCAAATTGGGTAATGTTTCTCTGACTTAGACATTTATTAAAGAGATCAAAACTTTGTCTTTTACTTTTCTAGACTAAAAAACCAGAACCTATCGGAGTCTAGTGGGCTTAGAAACATCCTGCAGCAGTGTTTCTTCCAGACTTTTTTCTCCGGGGGGGGGGGGGGGGGGGGGGGGGCAGACACTGTTAAAAGTATATATTTTTTTCTATATAAATTATATAAATTTCATTTTTTGGGGGGGGGGGGGGGGGGGGGGGGGGTAAAAATGCCTGGAAGAAACTCTGTCCTGCAGACTTAAGCCAGTAAACTGAACTTGAAACATTTGGGTTAGGAAATGTATGCTCTATTGCTCAACCATGGGGTTCCACATAGTATTATAATAATGAGAGCGTATTTAGTACTTTGTATTTTAAATAACCCTCTCTCAGTATAGTAGGCATTGATAACCAATTATTACTTGTGATAACCCATCTGGTGGGTTAGTCTAACTGTGAAGCTGAATATTTTTAGATAGGAAAAGTAGGCCCAGTAAATAATATTTCTTACTTTAAAGAGTAAACATTTAATAAGTTTTATTATGAAATAAGGTGCTGTCAATAAAATTACATCACTCAGTTATTAACAAATTTTAACCCCTTAATCTTTTAAGAGGTCACAAAGTTCCACCAAATACCTATAGAATTATCTGGATTCAGACAAAGATCAACAATTATTTATTTTTTAAAATGATAGCTATGTTAAATCATGACTACAACCCCTTCTTAACTCACTAACAAAGAAATTATCACCAGTCAAAAAAAACCATGTGGTTGCATGATTTATATTTCACTCTTTATAACTATAAAAATGAAATCAAATAATATAGCCTAGAGGAATTTAAGTAAGTCTTTCTAAAATTCTAAAGTTAAATTCTAAAAGGTTAAACATTTATTTATTCACACTATTGTAGCCTAGAGGAATCAAAATCAGTCTTTCTAAAATTCTAAAGTTAAATTCTAAAAGGTTAAACATTTATTTATTCACACTATTGTAATTGTAGCGTAGAGGAATTAAAGTAATTTTTTAAAAATTCTAAAGTTAAATTTTAAAAGGATAAACATTTGTTTATCCACACTATTGTAGCCTAAATGTCACCCCTCTCCCCAACCATTTATCCTGAATGTGACATTTGCTATTCTTACAGCACCATAAAAGAATTATATATATAATTCTACCTGGTGACATTTATTTAGATTGATTACACAGTAAATAAAGGTTTTAAATCACCCTTTTGTTAGGTATATTCTAAATATACACTCTTATCATAAAAAATACTATTCATTTAAAATTAGACATTTATTTCTACTTGTGTTTCTTCATTGCTGCTGTTACAATAATGATAGTTTGAATAATGCTTTTAAAACCCACATGATATTAATCTTTATTTTTTCGACATTTATATTACACACAGAGTTAACCAATGGGTGGATTTTTAGTACCAGTGTCTGATAATAGAATCTTCTGCTAATGTCAATGCCAACTCTATATCCAACCCCAACACCCAACCCTAATTTCTAACCATAACAACCTAACACACCTATTTTTGGAAGCGTCTATCATAGGACATCAGTATCTTCAATCATCCACACCCTTACAAAATGATAGGTACAACTTTGATAACTAACTAGATATGTACAGTTAAATACATAAACACAGGTAATCTGTGTTTGATTATCATGTGTGGCAGCGGCATATTGAAAGAAAATTATTTAGTATTGCAACAGTCACTTGACATTTTAGTTGTAAATTTGCATAAGTTCATTTGAAGCCACTTAATGCTTGTATGCCCAGCTATTCAATGCAGAAAATCAATTTTGAATCAATAAAGTTCATTGAATGTGTGTGCTGTTATAGATTGGCTGCCCCAAGTAACTAGGAGGGCAAATATTGACACAGTTGAGGTCTTACTGTAAGGCTGGTAAAGCCAATAGACTCAGGCAGTTTAAACAGAATCTTGGGAAGAGCTTGTTTAAACTGTTTAGAATTATTTATGATATTAAAACATATTAGGTGTTATATGATAATAAAAAATAAAGAGAGATACAAGCGTTAAGTAGATTTAAAAACAAATTTAAATTTACATTCATAAACTAAGGCTTATACAGTATTAAAGTATTATAAAAAGCAATAATTTAAAAAGTAGTTCAATGTTAAAATGCATTTTTAAAAGTTATAATAAAGTTAAGGTTTTTTTTTTAAAATAACTTTTTTTGGACCTGAAGTGTATTATACATTTTTGTTAGTGGTGTTGGTATGTATAAGTTTTACAGTAAAGTACACCTTTCTAAGTAAACATGCCTTCTAGACCTTCCATTTCAATAAAACTTCAACACTCTTATTTACAACATCTACAAACACTACTGTCATTAAATACTTTAAACAGCTGCAGTTTAGGTATTGGTCCAAACTTTCCTACACCACTGTGTATGTTGTTGCTATGGGCTGTAAACAATGTGTAACCAAGGACCCTGAATGTGCTTTCCAAGCACAAGCTTGAATGAACAGTTATGTTGTTATCTGGCACTGGCAATAGGACTGTTATGCTTGACGTATTCACATAAGCCTATACTTGGACCTGTAGGTGGAGTGTGTAGAACATTTCATAAATAGTTTATATCTTTAAGGCAAGTTACCAAGGGATTATTGAAACTTTGTTGTTTTTCTAATAAATAAATAATTTTATTCTGAAACAAGAAGGAAATAGAATAATATATTCTCTATTCCATGAGTCAACTTGGATATTGGAATGTTATTTGTTTTTTTTAGATGTAGATCTAGGTCTAAATTTTTTAAGAAGCAAGTTTGATCTTGTAATAAGTTAAAATTAAAGTTACTGATTAAAGTAGCTTTTTGATGAATGCCTAATTCTTTAGAATTCTAATTCTACCAGGGTTTTTAAAAAAGTATGTTAAACATTAATATCTTTTATTACATAGAGATGGTAATTGTGATAATTTTTTTCTTAGTTGGCCAGAGTTATTGTGTTTAAAAATCAAATGAATCAACAAAATTTAGATCTTATAGTAAATAGAAAATATAACTTTAAAAAAATTAATTTCAAAAATGTATTTTTTTAAAGTTTCTTTTTGCCCACAATATTAAAAGATGATTGCTGCGGTGCAAGCTAAAGTAAATAGAAAATATAAATTAGAAAAAAGTATTTTAAAAAGAATAATTTAATTTATTTCTGCACACAGTATTAATAGAGGATTGTAATCCAAAGTAAATAGAAACTATAAACTAGAAAAAATTATTTTAAAATAATTTTTGTATTTCTTTCTGCACACAGTATTAATAGATAAATGCTGAGGTACTAAGTAAAGTAAATAGAAACTATAAACTAGAAAAAATTATTTTAAAAGAATTTTTATATTTCTTCCTGCACACAGTATTAAAAGATTATTGTAAACTTAAGTAAATAGAAACTATAAATTAGAAAAAATATTTTAAAAGATTTTTAAAATTTCTTTCTGCACACAGTATTAAAAGATAAATTCTGAGGTAGTAACTAAAGTAAATAGAAAATATAACTTAAAAATAATGTTTTTTGTATTTCTTTCTGCACGCAGTATTAAAAGATGACTGCTGAGGTGCAAACAAAAGATGTTGGTGGGTGGGTCCCAACAAGACCCAGGGGGCCCATAGCGGCCATGTACAACAGCCCAGGACCTTGCTACGGGCTACCCACCCTGGTAGGCCAACCAGGACATGATTTCAGAAGTGTTCATCCAAAGAAGCCAGCGTGGGTGTTTGGCATCAGGCACGGCAAGTTCCAGGTATGGCAATTTTTACATTTTAAAAAAAATACAAAAAACAAGGAAGAATTTTTATTTGACAAGAAAATAAAGCCCCTTTGACATTGTTCATAAGAGTCAACACAAGTTTCAGTAATAATAGTAAGGATTCTAAGTAATATGTCATTTACTTCTAATGTGGAGGTCTTTACTGCACTCATTCAGCACACTTTAAAAAAATCTTAAATGTTAATCAATATTTTCTTAAGAAAATTAAATCAAAATGATGCCAGAAAATATCAATTTCACAGCAACTTAATATTTTTTTGACAATTTTCTGTAGATGTAGGCCTACAATTGACTTATTTCTGAAGATATTTAACATTATAGGAAGTAATTAGGTTGTAAGCTGCTGGTATTTTAATTCCTGTGTTGTGAATGCTATCAGGATGACTGCAGCCCCGGCCCATGCTACCTGCCCAAAGAAAAGTATTACAGAGACGGCCCAGATGGCACTCCCCACTACTCCCTCCACGATAGGCACAAAGATCTGACCTCATTCAAGACTCCTGGTCCAGGTGCATACAAGCCTGAAAGTGCTGGCCCAAATGCCTTTAAATCGGCACCTAAATATAGCTTTGGTCTCCGCAACAGAAACAGGAAGTGTGACAATACCCCAGGTAAGGAACAATTTATTAAAAAAGCTGTTTATTCCTTATTCAGTCTATTAAATATAGTGTTATGCTATGTTCTCTATTTACATAATTTTTTTCCCCCATCACTTTTAGAAAATGAAAAATATAGGCTTATAAAATTAAAACATTTGTTAAAGCTCTACACAGAAAGACTATTGATATTATGTATGAAATATTTTTGCATTATCAGTTCATGTACTAATTTCTAGATGAAATGACATTTTAAGCTAGCCCAAGAGGCATCCCCAAAAATTAAAACTACATGTCCAGTGTTTCATTATAAAAAACATTTCTCTCTCCTCAGGGCCAAACAACTACACTCTGCCTGGAATGCTTGGAAAAACCACAGAATCCCACAAAAAATCTGCACCTAATTATTCACTAGTTGGGCGCAGTAAAATGGGAGGATTTTCAGAGGATCTGGCTAAGGTAGATACAAAACTTAAAAAAAATATTGCTTAAAATTCATCATTATAAAAGAAAAAATAGCACACAAGGTGGAGGCAAGTTTGATGCAACAAAACACAGAAGTTTTTTTCAAAACTGATTCAAATATGAACCATGGATATTAAGTTTTGACACAAATCTATAATTGGAAGTTGCATCTTGCCTATGATCAATACTGAAGACCTTCATGATAATATTTAAAGCATGAAAATAAAATATCATTTTGTAAGATTTAATAAAAATAAAATTAAAGAATAGTACATTCAGTTATTTTGAAAATTGCCATTAGTTTGAATGTTACAATGCTAATTTCATTAATTTTTTTTAAACTTTATTTAGAAATTGTTTTAATTTATTATTTTTAGGAAACATGAAGTTATCCAATAAAATAAATTTTAAAGATCTAGATCAACATTACTTTTGCTTTAATGACTTGTTAAATTTTTTTCCCTTCTAGACCCCAGGACCTGGAGCGTACAACGTAACATCACCAAACATCTACAAGACAGCTCCTCCCAATTTCAGCATGACCAGTAGGAACGTAATGCCCGGAGACGGCACACAGAAGCCTGGTCCTGGTGCCCACTCTCCTGAAAGAGTAAGTCCATTAAAATATTTTGGGGCATTCTGAGTAACCCAATGGAACCTAATGGTTATAAGCAAATGGTTTGAGTGAAAAATTTAGAAGATCAGTATTTTCATACTCAATAAAATGCATAACTAAACTTAAAAATTGGAATTTAGATAATCTAAGTTAATGATCCTTGTTTTTAGTCAAAGTAGAAATATACAAATCTATTTTTTTTTAAATTAATACAATAAACTAGATTTGAAAAAAATAAATAAAAAAATTTAAAATTAAAGCTTGGTTTTCAATAGAAATTAATAAAACTTCAAAATTTTTATATAGGCCTACTCTATTATTCTGAAAATGTTATTAATTTTAGGCTAAATTCTTATCTCTATAATAAAAATTCACAACAATCACTAATTTTCAATCGGGTAGGCCCTATAACTGCAAATTAAAGCTATTTATTTTTCTGTAGGTTTATGTAACCAAAAGAGCAGCACCGGCCTTTACAATGGGTATGCGCCACACACCATACAAGGCTGCCATGTTGGATGCTCCATGTGATGACTGACCTATCACACTCATTGAACACAACCAGGCATAGCTCATAAGTACATTGATTCAAATTAGATCATTTTGTCACTGGCACACAAGCCTATTTTGTAAACAATCAAATCAAATGCAGAGAAGTGATGACTGCTTTATTCCATTTTTCCCTTTAGGAATTTTGTATCATGAACTATTATGCTACTAAAAATTGTACCATTTCTTTCAAAATAGAGTCTTAGTCTTTACAAAGCCCTGGAAATATTATTATCAAGGTGCCATTTATTTATTTATTAAACCTACTTTAATCTGTGATACTGCTATGTGATATGATTACTGATTCTCTCTTGTATGCACCTACTTCACTAATGGAGTATGTAAATACTTTTTCATACAACATTCAGCATCAGCATTATTATCAAGGCAAAAATTGTCCTTAGAAAAAAAAAATTCAGCAAGTGATAATTAAAAAAAGATAAACTAACATTTTAAAAAAAAGGAAAGTACAATGTGCTGAGACTAATAAAGAAAAATATTTTTTTAATGCTTTAGATATTTTTTCCCCGAACAAGTATTAGCTATAAATAGAATTGTTTCTTGTATTAAATTTTTGTACTCCCAGCATTTTAATATAATATTGTCAAAGACATTTTTGTTTCATAAAAAATATCTTTCATATTGTGTTTTACTTGTCAATGTTTTGAAACTATCTGTTTTTGATATTTTCAAAGTTTGGTTGTTTGTATAATAACTACTGTATTTGTTTGTTTATGAATGAAAATACAAAATAAAATTTGTAATATCTTTACATTATTTGGTCAAGTTTTTAAAGTTCCACTTTATCTCAAAATTGCATAAGTAATATTTACTTCTATAGATGATTGAATTATATATATTTTTTAAAACTTACTTGCTTTGATTACTTATTGATAGTTGAAACAAAAGAAAAGTTATTATTTATGTTTACTATTAAATAAAAAATGCATACTCATAATTAAAACATTTTTGATAAACAAGCTTATAAATTCTTTTAAAAAAATATTATGCAATTTTAAATACTTTTAAATGGGTGTAAATTTTCATTTAACCTAGCATTTTAAAAATAGATGTACAGTATTTAAAATGAAAATGTGTATGTAAGTCTGTTTTTCTTATCTAATTTAAAACATGAAGTGTGAAGTTTATAAATTAAAGAATGAACTAATTGTGAGATATTAAATATTGAAACTGGCTCATTATTTGTTTTAAGAACTTTTGGCTACAAATAAACAAATAGATAACACAGATTTCTATTATTTTTCTATAGTTAATGAACATCATAACAGTTCTGTTATATTTACTTTTAAGTTGTGAGATAATTTGTGAGGAACACTTTTCTGTTTGAATGGTTGTACTAAATAACATCACTGAATGATACTTCTATCTTTGAAATCTTGGGTAAGCACAAAGATGTAGCTCATATATTTTATCATATGCTAAAACCAAGTTAAATGTAATAGTTATTCTTCCTTTAAAACACAGAAATGGTAAGTTTTGAACCAACATTTTGAATTTAAAAGCATATTTAAAAAAAATTCACCTAGGAACCACCCTGCCCAACAAACAGTGGCACACAATAGTCCTAATATATTTTTTCATTTTTAAATACATCATTGTATTTATTATTTTTTGCAAAAATAAAAAAATCTAAGGCATATGTTCTGCAACATTGCTTGTATCTCAAAGCAGTTTTCTCAACTGAAATTAATTGAAATAACCTTTTAAGTAACCAAAATGCCACAACAGTTGTTTTTTATACAGGTTTTTTTTTTAAATTTGAAAAAAGTGACAAATATTGTTTAATGACATTATATAGGATAATGCAAAGAAATAAACTGGTTTTATAAAGTGTTTTACCTTGAAAATCAGCTGACTTGAGCTTACAAAAGATGCTGGTTTAGAGTGGAGAAGATAGCTGAAGGAGAAGAGGTGGAGGACATAGGCGGAGATTCACTCTTTTCACTTACACACTGTTCATGCTTAGCTTTTAGGGTCACTTTAATTCACTTGCTTATTACACTCGTATCGCTACACTTTATCCCTAAACTTGATTAACTTAAACTTCAACAAACATAGTTGAACCTAAATGCTACAAATACTGTATAATAATTCTGTGTAAGTTAACATCAAGTATAAACGTTTTTTAACCTCAATGTATTTTAGAGATGTCCGAATACAAATCAAAACTCGAGCATTTGAAAAAAATTCGCTAGAGCAGCTAGAAAAAATGCAGGTCCTTGTACAGAGTAAACTAGGAGATTTGTTCTAACGGGTAAGCACAACTATTGCAAATCCTTTAAAGGACAAATCATGTTCACTTGGAGTTTATGAATTTCACAAACAATGTATGTCGCTGCAGCAAGAGGAAACGTATATTCTTGTTCTGTACCTTTTAAGACCAAAGGTAAAATACTGCAGCGGATGGATGATCCTACTGAAACTAGGATCACTTTCAAAGATGTAGTTGCTATACTCGCAGCAGCTAACACTTCATTTACTGACCAGATGGAGATCATGGATGCTAATGTTATTCACTGTTCTAGATTATTTAGCTTGAGTTGTTTGACTGAGTGGTTGGATGGGGGCAATGCTGTTGCTACAGGAGGCTGTGGTATACTGGCAGTAGCAGCAGAGGATGTGATAGGTTGAGCATATGATGGACGAGCTCCTTGTGAAGTTGATGCAAATGCTACACCAGGTCCTCGAGCTGGTCCAGGCATCGCTCTATTATTTGCTACTCTTGACATCTGCAAATGGAGAATTTGAACTTTAAAAACAGAAATCTTGAGTCAAAATTTAACTTCTATATTTTAAATAGCTAGCTGACAATTGTTATTCCCATTCTTGACACAACTTAAATTTATTTGTTTAGTAATTTAGAGGAATCAAATGTCAGTAGAACAGGAGTAGTATTCAATCATTAATTGTTTTTCACTGCTATGATTGAAACCAACATTATTTTAGCTCAGTGAAATAGCCTATTATACATTTCTTTTAATTCATGAACTTATAAGCGTTTGCTTAACACAGTATTTTTGTTACACAAAGTCAATAATACTTACCCTTCCAAGATTGGTCATCCAGGATGGCAGAAGTGGGCAACCTTTAATACACTGGAGAAACTCTTCTGACACAGCTGATCAAAGTTTAAACATGTAAATATATAGACCCATGCAGAACTATAATCAAAATACAAAATCTAGATGTCTATCATGTTATTATATACTAGTATGTGATGTACCTTCAATTGCTGCTATATCGGTCTGGGAATGCAAAACTTGATACCACTTGACATTTGGGTCTTTCATGGATACAAACTGTTGGCACAAAAATATACTTGGATAAAAATAAACTAATACAGCGCAAACTCAAGAACCCTTTTTCTTTTACAAAATGGTTCTAAATGTAATTGAATTTTAAAAAATCTTACCTTGACTGAATGTGCTTTAGATGCAATGTTAAGACACATGATGGCTATTGTCTCAGGTGTATACTTCAAGCATAACATTGTAAGTTGTGAACTATAAAACACCAAGAAAAAATGTATTAAAAATAATGCAACATTAGTTTAATATAGCTATTCTAGCCTTATTTTATTAAGATCTGTAGCATTTGTTTTTAATCCTATTAAACATTATTCAGCTAAAAAATAGCTTACCTAGCAGTAGCAAGATTATATGCATATTGAGATATATCTTTGATATTCTCAGCTGAAATGGAAAGATACCCATCTATGTGAGGAAGGAGAGACAAAAGTTTGTAATAATCAAAATAATTTTTTCAACATCCATACAAATTGTTTCTCATTTTATACTATATAATACAATTTAATAATCTAATATACCTAGAATCTATACTGTAAAAAATGTAACAAAATATAATTAGCAACAGCTATTTAACAAAATGGTAAAAATAATACGTACCTCCCAAAAGAGCACACATTCGAATTACATAATTATGTGGATGTACAATTTGAAACTGGAAACCTACATGAAAACAATTACAATTTTTTATGAAGTAATAAGCGTACCATGTACAAAAGTAGCAAAACAGCTCAAGTGGTCAAGGAAATGATTGTCAAGATACAGGATCAACATCCTGGGTATCAGCGAAATGAGATGGACAGACTCAGGCCTGACTACACTAGATCAGGAGAAACTTTAATCTATTCTGGGAGATCTGATAACCAACACCAGGAAGGAGTTGGTATTATCATGGATAAAATATCAAGGAAAAGTCTAATAGGGTGGGAACCAATCGATTCTCGCATTCTTAGAGCCAGATTCTACTCAAGACACGTAAAGATTACCGTAAAACAGTGCTACGCCCCGACAGAACAAGCAAAAGATGAAGACAAAGACATGTTCTACCACACTCTACAAGATCAAATCGACAGGACTCTACAACATGACATTCTAATAGTCACGGGAGACATAAATGCAAAGATAGGGTCCAGCAACCAAGGATATGAACTCTGCATGGGTAAAGAGGGGCTAGGAGAGGCAAACAACAACGGTCAAAGGTTCAAAGAGATTTGCCTAGAAAATGGCCTAGTTATAGGTGACAGCTTATTTCAGCACAAAAAAATACACAAATCCACATGGATATCCCCATATAAGCGAACCAGCAATCAAATCGATCACATTGCTATAAATAAAAAGTGGAGAAGATCCATGAGGGATGTAAAGGTAATAAGAGGAGCTGACGTAGGTAGCGACCATAATCTAGTCTTGTGCAAGCTACAACTCAAGCTTAGGTGAGTCGACAGGAAAGTAAACCACCAGCTATTTGACTCAGCTAAACTAAAAGATCCCACCATTAAGGCAAACTTCGCAATTTTACTAAAAAATAGATTTAGTCTACTCGAGAACCTACCAGAAGAGGACACCAATACTCAATGCGAGAAGATCCTGGATGTATACACTAAAACAAGCCAATGCATACTAGGACACAGGAACAAACAAAGGAAGGAATGGATCTCAAACGATACTTGGAATCTCATTGAAAAGAGAAGAGAAGCCAAAATCAAAACACTATCTGGAACCATGGAAAGCAGGGTACGGAACGATGTAGAATATAGAAGACTGCAAAAAGAGGTAAAAAGGAATGCTAGGAAGGATAAAAGGAACTATGTAGACACAATGGCCACAGAAGCACAGGCTGCAGCTGATAAGGGAGATAGCAGAACAGTACAAGATTATCAGGACTCTAACAGGAGGTATAGCAAATAGATCATCTACTATCAAGGACAAAAACGGGAAAGTTCTTACAACGGAGAAACATCAATTGAAAAGATGGGCTGAATACTTCGAAGAGACCCTAAACAGACCAGACCCAGAAGAAACTGCTAACTTCACTGACATGAACATACATTTTGAAATGTATAGAAGACTCATCCTAGAACAAGAAATAATAGAAGCTATCCAAAAAACAAAAAGCAATAAGGCTCCAGGAGAGGACAGAATTACTGCGGAGATGCTAAAGGCAGACCCAAAAATAGGTGCAGAAACTCTATCAGGGATCTTCAATAAAGTATGGAATGAAGAAAAAGTCCCAGATTCTTGGAAACGGGGAATCATTATCAAATTACCCAAAAAGGGCGACCTTAATGTTTGTGAGAACTGGAGAGGCATTAATCTTTTGTCAGTACCAGGAAAAATCTTCTGCAGAGTGTTATTTCAAAGAATTAGGAAAGTAATTGATGAAATCCTTCGTGAAGAACAAGCTGGCTTCAGGGCCAACAGGTCATGTAATGACCAAATATTTGTCTTGCGCACTATAGTGGAACAGTCCCTGGAGTGGAATTCGTCTCTCTACATCAACTACATAGATTTCGAGAAAGCATTTGATAGCATCCACCATCCATAATTATGGAAGATACTAGAGCTATATGGCTTTCCAGGAAAAGTCATAAACATACTTAAGGACATGTACTATGATAACCAATGCTGTGTGCGACACGAAAATCAGTAAAGTGAATGGTTCAAGGTAAAAACAGGAGTCAGACAGGGCTGTGTCATCTCACCTGTCATCTTTTTGGTGGTAATAGACTGGATTATGAGAAGAGAGCCACTGAGGATAAGCCAAGAGGAATTGTTTGAGAACTTACCAACCATCTAGAGGACTGTGACTTTGCTGATGACTTGGCTTTACTTTCACATGCCCAATAAGACATCCAAGCAAAACCACAAAAATAGAGCAAATTGCCAAAAGCGTTGGACTAAAGATAAACTCCGGAAAAACCAAGCTAATGAAGATAAAAACCAAAAGTGCTCTCAAGACCTTTGCAAATGGAGCAGAGCTAGAAATGGCAGCATGGAGAAAGAAATTGCCACCAGAATAGCAATGGCAGCACAAGTTTTCAACAGACTTGCTAAGATCTGAAAATCATCCTCACTGCAGCAGAGAACTAAAATAAGGATCTATAAGTCTAATGTACGTTCTGTACTCCTCTATGCTGCAGAGTCAAGGAAACTAAACAAAAAAAGGATAGAGCCGACTCAGAGGCTTTGAAAGAAGATCCCTCCAACGCATCCTCAGGATAAAGTGGGACGACAAAGTCCCGAACAAGGAAATATGGCGAAGGACAGGATTAAACGACATTGTCTCAGAAGTTAGAACGAGGAGATGGAGATGGCTGGGCCATGTCCTACGCATGAGCAAAAAAAGACTCCCCAACATGGCGCTGAAGTGGAACCCACCCGGAAAGAGAAGTAGAGGAAGACCACTGGGAACATGGAGGAGGGAGATGGAAGAAGAAGTGCAGGCTACTGGTAAGACCTGGCATGAACTAAAGTGGCTCGCCCAGGACAGGGTGGAATGGCGGAGATTTGTTGCTGCCCTATACTCCACAGGGAGTGATGAGGATTAAGTAAGTAAGTAATAAGCGCAACAATAATTTTTTTTTAATAAACTCAATTTACTTATGTCCTTTAAGTTATTATTGTGGCACCATCAGCATCAATAGATTTAGTTAATTATAACAATAACAATTGATGTGTAAAATGGGCTCCAGCAAAGAAGATTGAGGCCGATAGAGCTTTTCTTCTTGGTTGAAACACATAAAGTTGGAGTTAAGTTCTAACTTAACCTACCAATGACAGCATAGATTTCTTTTTCGCAGTATAGGACAAGCTTCCTCATTTCCTGATAAGCCTGTCGGACAAAGATAGACCCACACATTACAAGTATAGGTTCTTAGATACTTTGTCACGACTCTATGCCTTTTTATACATATAGTTAGCAAGTACAATGTCATTTTTTTTCAATAAATAAATCTATTTAAAAAAAAAAGAGTTTTGGGAACTTTACAATTGCGTATACTTAAAAAATGTATTTAGGATTCTCACTGCTAACTCAACAAGTTTAAAGTATTTGGAAATTTAAACAAAATAAAAACAAAAATTTAATTTCTACAGAGTAGACTTGTAAAAATCCAATTATAATAGAAACAATTGTACTGAGATTCCTTAGAAATGTGGACTGAATTTTTAAACCAAAAAAAAAAAAAATGATTTTTTATAAAAGGCTAACAAAAACAGTACAAGATGTATAAAAATAAGCTACTGAAAAAATACTACATGTAGGTAATCCAAACTTACATGTTCAATCAACTTTAAGCTTAAAAATTGTCTTACTGTATTTATTTTTGCGTTCAAAGTCTTTATTTAAATTTTACAATTATGAAAAACTAAACTATATAGTTTTAATTAAAATTCTCTTATTGTGAATCATATTTTGTATTTGTTCTTTATGTAAAGAAATATGTTAACAACTTATTTTTTGTCTACTTTAGTTTATCATTTCATGTGTTACTTATTTATTGTCTTCTTTAATTTAACATTTCATGTTACTTTTCTTTTTGTCTACTTTACTTTATCATTTCATGTGTTACTTATTTATTGTCTTCTTTAATTTAACATTTCATGTTACTTTTCTTTTTGTCTACTTTAGTTTATCATTTCATGTGTTACTTATTTATTGTCTTCTTTAATTTAACATTTCATGTTACTTTTTTTTGTCTTCTTTAGTTTAACATTTCATGTTACTTTTCTTTTTGTCTTCTTTAGTTTAACATTTCATGTGTTACTTATTTATTGTCTTCTTTAGTTTAACATTTCATGTTACTTTTCTTTTTGTCTACTTTAGTTTATCATTTCATGTGTTACTTATTTATTGTCTTCTTTAATTTAACATTTCATGTTACTTTTTTTTGTCTTCTTTAGTTTAACATTTCATGTTACTTTTCTTTTTGTCTTCTTTAGTTTAACATTTCATGTGTTACTTATTTATTGTCTTCTTTAGTTTAACATTTCATGTTACTTTTCTTTTTGTCTTCTTTAGTTTAACATTTCATGTTACTTTTCTTTTTGTCTTCTTTAGTTTAATATTTCATGTTACTTTTCTTTTTGTCTTCTTTAATTTAACATTTCATGTTACTTTTCTTTTTGTCTTCTTTAGTTTAACATTTCATGTTACTTTTCTTTTTGTCTTCTTTAGTTTAACATTTCATGTTACTTTTCTTTTTGTCTTCTTTAATTTAACATTTCATGTTACTTTTCTTTTTGTCTTCTTTAATTTAACATTTCATGTTACTTTTCTTTTTGTCTTCTTTAATTTAACATTTCATGTTACTTTTCTTTTTGTCTTCTTTAGTTAAACATTTCATGTGTATATAGCTACTATAAAGAGGGGTATACAATTTTCATGCACAGAATAATTAAAACATTCATTATTTTTTTTTAAAAACCTGAAACGTCCTTGAGATTTAAAAATGAAGGTATTGATAAAGTCTTTGATAAAAAAAAAACCTATAATGTTAATACTAAGTTCTTTAAAAGCAGTTGTGCAAGAAAAACACACTAGTGAGCAAATTGTTTTAGTTCATTCTGAAAAATAATCTACTATAAGCAAGTGTTACTAGTGGCATCAACTTTTTATTTAAAAATAAAAAATTTAAAAATTTTTATATAAAAATTATTATTGGAGTTCAAAAACAAGAATAAAAATTTTGAAATTAGTTGCACCATGCAGTATCAAACAAGATAACTAATTTTTAAACATGTTTGGATTACCTATAATTACTAGGAGAAACTAAAGCCACTGATGTGTTTGATCAATTGCATATAAGAAAGAACACCTATCTTTTTACTTACAGGTGACTCAATGTTGCAGTTATTTTGACACAAAACTTCCATTTTTACTCTGTACTGAGAGTCCATTTCATAAGTAAAAGGATCTGTTTTATCCAAAAACTCCCTGTTCTTGTTTGTCCTGATGATGTCCACAGCTGTTCTGATGAGATGTTCCAACTTACGAGCACTTTCTTCCACTTTACCACCAGCAAAAGCAAGCCCCAAGGCCAGATGCTGAAAAAACAAAACAATTGATCAAGAAGTAGAAAATGTAAAAGAGATGGCATTTATTTCAAGACATTTAAGACCATTAACTAAAATTGATTGCTTACCACTCTGGGAAATGATTTGACGGAGCGAAACATGTAAAATCTGTGCATGAAGATTACACTAGTGTTCACAGCAAGCTGGGTCCTTCAAAACAAAGCATTGAAAATACTTTAAAATATTATAACTGTAATAATAATAGCAAAATTTTCAAATGATAAATCGACAATTAACACTAAGTAACATTTTTTATTTATATGAATTAACTATTTTGTTAATTCAAATTTTACACAAAAATACACACACATTATTTGATCAACTTTGGAGACACAAACAGGAAAAAACTACATTTTGTGAAGCTAACTATTTACATTTGGTACTTACAATCCTGACTTTAATCCAATTGTTTGTATTAGCATTGCTTGTTTCTGTCGGAATGTCAACTCTTGCTCTGGGGTGATGCCATTCTCCACCACACTAGGAGTATTTCTTAACTTCTCCTCATCAAATAGCCACTTAATATTGCATCTAAGGTCTTCCATGTTCTGTAAAAATATACACATTGAAATATATATGTATATAATCTACTGTTGATAACTAACAGCTGCTCTATAATAGTACATGTAACATGTTAGGAGAAGTAATGTAAGAAAAAAATGATGACCATGCAAATCCCCTAAGTAAACTAATAATTCCTTGATCTTGAAAACATGAAACTGGTATAAAATTTATCAAAGTTTAGAGCTATCCCATTTTAAAAATAGTTTGAAATGTATTACTTAACATTGAAAACAATTTATATAAAAAATCTATCACTTGTATAAGGGTGATTTTGTATGTGAAAGCAAGTATCATCTGTATTCAAATTTTAGAATTTTTGTAGGCGTATATTAAATGGTAATCAATGTTTTAATAATAAAGTGGCTGCAGTATTTAAATTTTAGGAATTAGCTCAGTTTAGTTGAGATAACCTACACCTACATATATTTCTACTTTTTATATATTTAACCTGTGATAAAAAAAGCAAACAAATTTTTACTAATTATCTCATTTTTGGAACAAAAAGCTGTGTGCATGAATTCGACCAACAATAGGGCTTGTAAGTCTACGATCTCAAAATCTACTCGCTGGCAAGTACGAGAAGTTGTGACCTACTTAAAAGCCCTATTATCTTCAATATACTGTTGTACCAATATTCAAAGATAAAATTGATTTAATTATGCCAAGCATTTAATTTACTTTGCAAAAACTACTTTATAAAGGTATATTATATGAAAATCTAAATGCTAAACAGTTATAACTCTAATAGTTGAGGCCAAAATTATTTTGTTATCTGCTGCACCAGTAATTTTTTTTTATAGGCCTATAATTAAATCACTAAAAATTCATCCAGGGCTGCCCTACAATGGCATTTTTTTAGAATTAATTATCTGTTAAGTGTTATTTAACAGCAGTTTACATTTTGAAAGAACACTTTAAATTATTGAATCAATTAATAGAATAGTATGTTACTCAGGTTGTATTATTTTTTAAAATGCAATTGACTAAATTTAACTTTTAATAACCCCATTCAAATTATCAAAACATGTTTTTACATACAATTTTATAAATAACACTGCTAGTATATCAATAAACTATTTTGGCATAGGCTGTCTGCAACTTTTAAGTATGCATTTTGAAAAAGGTCAAATAAAAACAAGAACTTAGTTAATGCATATTCAGTTTTTTTCAATTAAGGCAGCTGATATTTGCATGTAAAAGAAAAATTACTATATAAAGTAAGCTGATGCAGAAATTTAAAAAATTACATATAATAAACTTTATAAATAAATTTAATTTCATGCTTTTCACACCAAACTTTATAGCATTTCTATAAAGGATGTTTTGTTTCAAAATGTTTATAAATTATAGAAGACATATTGGTCAGAAACAAACATAAGTAGGTTTTTTAAAATAAATATATTGAAGAAATAATAAGGATTGTTGAGTTGCTTTTTCTCAGGGCAACAAAATGGTTCAAGATATAAGCAAAACTGTAGCTTCGGTACAATTTGAAACCAGCTTTCAAGAACCAGCTGGATAAGAGATAATGCTACCAAACCCAAGTACAGCCCTGTTATTGCCTAAGCATGGATAGTGTACCTTAGTCATAAATAAGAGATTGTGCACACATTATAGGATGTTTTCTACCTTCCCATCCAATATAATGATCTAGAACTTTGTCTATTTCCATAGGCCACGGCCCTTCATAAATAAAACAGTTCTAGTAGCCTTGCTTAAACGTGTTAACACTATTTTGAAGTATAGGGAAATGGGGGGGGGGGGGGGAGATTTTTATACCAGTGTCCAAAAATAGAATCTTCTTAAAAAAGGGGTATTAGGTTACTGGTAGTTAAGTAAATAGTAGTAAATACACAAATGGCTTGCTAATGTCAATGTTAACCTTATACCTAACCCCAACCCAAGCCCTACCATATGCCTAACCCTAATCTCCAACCATAAAACTAGATTGAAGATTACAATACTACTAACAAGCTAACACACCTGTTTTTGGAAGAACCTATTATTGGGCATCAGTATCCTCAACCATCTCATTGTTTATATCCAATGATAAAAGAATTCAAAATTGCTTGAAAAAAAATAACTTTATTTTAAAAATCTCTTTATTGAAAACTGATACAAAATTAAAATAAATATATCTAGAATGTGTATTGTTTCATTAGCCTACTTTTTGTTGTTGAAATTATGACGTCACTCGTTGTCGCGCACCGTTAGGTTTACATCTAAAGTAGTTTTGTAGATCCAGATCTGTAGTTTGTTAGCTGGGCTATCAAGAATTTGTAATGGGTAAACCGGGGGGTATGTAGGTCGAATAGTTGATTATATTTAACCCTTTTGGGAGAGTTAATCACCCAGTTCAAATTATTACCATCCAATGCTACAGAAATAACATCAAGACTCCCATCAAAATGCCAATTTTAGCCAGATGTGTCAACTTATTCATCCAAGGACCAAACATTCAAATAGCAGGAAAATTTGAAAAAATAAAGATTACTACCATTTAACTGGAAATAGCCTATAGTCAAGATTAACCCTATTCCCAGTGTTGATTTAATATTAAAAACAGCTCAAGTGATATGGCACAGCATGGTCTGATCATGTCTGATGGTAGAGTGTAGGATCAAAAGAGTGACTTTACTTTTTTTTTAAAACCACAAAACCAAGAAAATAGCTGTTTTTAGATATTTTATCTTTCATGACGTGATCACATGCAAAATTACTTTCCCCCACACCATATACACTTTGTAATTGTTTGTTACAAGATGTTTTAGCATTTTCTTTTCAATGTGTTGTAAATGAGAATATATGCAAAATACCCCTGCTACATTTTGCTATTAAATTCACACTTCTCAACACATCTCTGAACAAAAAGGAATGTTATCCCCACCGAATAAAAATTAACATATATATATATATATATATTGTTTAGATTGATACATTTTTTGTTTTGTCGGCCTACATTGTGTGTTTTTTCTTATTTCTTCAAGTGCTACTTACAATTTATTTTACATCATAGCAAAGTAATGACATACAGCTAGTAATTATATATATATATATATATATATATATATATATATATATATATATATATATATATATATAATACACGTATATAGAACATGTTAAAAATTCAGCGCCTTTTTTTGCTCATTTCGCTCCCCCTACAACGAAAACCTGGATACGTCTCTGCTTACGGGTTAGCAGTCCAGCCCTCTACCGCTAGAGCACTCCGTCCCACATGAATGGTGAATACTACACCAAAATTGTGTGTGCAGTTTTTCATCTAACACGAAATCATTCTGCAAATCAAAGAATTCTTCTTGTAATTCATCGGGAATGCTGGCAACATCAAAGGAAGAAGAGAATGGGTAATGCGTCAATGCAGATTCTTCTTTTTCAGCTCAGAGAAATAGCGCTGCAGTTTGTTTTCAAGAGATTCAAAATGCCCAGAAATCTCTTCTTTCAAAATTGTTATTATCTCACAATCAGATAGATTCTACATCTACCACACCGCAGAGTTTCTCAAATTTACAATATTTCCAAGATTTATTTTCTTCGCCGATTTGGCAGCTTTGATAAAAATGCCCCGAGATTATCATGGAAAGTGATAATATTCGTTCATTTTCCCTGAAGCTTCAGGTTAGGCTTATGTTGATGTTCGAATACATCTGCCAGGTATGATCGGCTCTAAGATTGTAAACATTTAGCGTGAACCACAACTCACGAAACCATGTGTAGGGGTGGGAGGGAGCGCGCTTACAGCTTGATGTTTTCTATGGTCTCCAAGAAGATCGTACATCCTCTTTGAGGAGTCATCCGTCAACTGTCAGGCTTGTTTTGGTGTAGCTATACCCCTGCATATTACATTGTCGTTACACATCGTCACAAAAAGCAAGACCTTCTAATAATGACCTTACAATTTGGGCGATTGCTCATCCTCTTCTCCCCCTATTTTCGAACACATTTTCCAGCGTTCTATAAGGGGTAATAACCCAAATGTTTATGATCTTTGCTAAAAATATTAATAGAGTTGCTTCCCTTTGTACTTCGAAAGGAAATCCGCAAATCACAAAAAAAAAATTCTATATATTTATTATATTGAACAGTAACAAATCCAGGTTAATATAATAACAATTTACCAAAACAAAACTTAAATGTAAACAATACTGTTTAAAAACAGTTTTTACAATATTTTTAAAATAATGCAACCTTCTAAATTCTAAACCAACCCCCTCCCCCCTCGTTACACATCGTATTGTATCGACACAAAACTCCGTACCTCCTCACTACCCTAGGAATGTGACAAAGTTTACGGATGACCCCTTAAATAAAATACTAGATCTAGATCTAGATTAGATTTAGGATATGTCGAAAGGTGGATTCAAAAGAGAAAAATGGGTTTCTTAATTCACTTTCAAATATTTTTCGACACTATTCTAATTTTTCTAGATCAGCTTTAGGGACACTTCTGTGAATGAGGTAAACATTTTAATCCGATATTATATAATATATTAACGCCCTCGCACAACCTTTATCATGTCGCATCGCAACTCTACCTCAGAGAAAAAAAAAAGAAAAAACCAACATAGATCTAGATCTAGATCTAGATTCTAGATCAAACAGATTAAATTTTGTTTGGTCCTCTTATTTTTTTTTTTTTTTGATAAGGCGGGAAATACTTTTAAAAACTCTAAAATGAGCTTAGGAGAAAACAATTCATTTTCAAAAACAAATGTGACAAATACCTGTTGTAAATTTTGAAACGAAATTAGTAGTTTTGAAAAAAAATAACTTTATTTTAAAAATCTCTTTATTGAAAACTGATACAAAATTAAAATAAATATATCTAGAATGTGTATTGTTTCATTAGCCTACTTTTTGTTGTTGAAATTATGACGTCACTCGTTGTCGCGCACCGTTAGGTTTACATCTAAAGTAGTTTTGTAGATCCAGATCTGTAGTTTGTTAGCTGGGCTATCAAGAATTTGTAATGGGTAAACCGGGGGGTATGTAGGTCGAATAGTTGATTATATTTAACCCTTTTGGGAGAGTTAATCACCCAGTTCAAATTATTACCATCCAATGCTACAGAAATAACATCAAGACTCCCAGAACTCGGCATAAGCCGACACAAATAAAGAAGGTAATTTAATTTTATTTTTTAATTTTTAGAAATATTCTAGTCTAGATCTAGATCTAGATCTAGATCTAGATATCAGAATCTAGATCTAGATTTAAGTAAGTTGGTATACATTGCAAGTCGTCCTTAGAGTAGAGGATTTCATTCATAAGTGTCCAGGCTGGGAAGGGGTGTGGTGGGGGGGGGGGGGGAGAGGGGGGTAAGACGAAGTTCTGACCGGGATTTAAAGGGACGACTCGAATACTGTCCCAAGTAGATCTATGATTTATATTATAATATATATTGTAAAATAACTTCACATATTGCTGAATTTAATTTTCCTAGCAGTTTGCATAAACACAGCCACAGCAAACACACACCAAAAGAGCAGTAGCCAGAGACTTATGAGCTTCCTTTTGTACTAATTTGAAACAAAAATGGTGTATGAGTACACAAAACCAAGATGTCCAATTGCTGCTATGTATTCTTCTCCTGGACCTGCTTATGGTCTTCCACCCTTGGTAGGAGAAAAATGCCATGATCCTAGAAGTGTGCATTACAAGTACCCAGCATTCTCTTTTGGTGTGAGGCATGGAAAATTCAAAGACAGTTCTGGCCCAGGACCATGCTATTATCCCAACCCAAAAGTGAGATATTTTACTCTGTAATTGTAACACCAGTGACTAGAGGTTAAATTACTGTTTTTTTTTGGGTGGGTTATCAGTTTTATAGATGTAGATGCGGCAAGTCTTTTTCAACATTGTACTCTAATTTTTGTGGGACGGAGTGGTCTAGCGGAAGAGAGCTGAACTGCTAACCCGGAAGTCTCGAGTTCGAATCCGGGTTCAAGTCAGTTGACAGTCCCTGAGTCCACCCAACTCTGATGAGTACCTAACTCATGTTAGGGAAAGTAAAGGCGGCTGACCACACTATCTCTTCATATGCAGAGGTCACAGAAACAAGTGAACTCTACTTCACTTGCCCCATATACCGTCAGGTTTGAAAGGGAAACTTACTCTAATTTTAACTATAAAAATAACTAAAGCTAATAAATCAAATGCTGTTGAATTTCTAAAAGCCTTTAAAGGCAATTTTTAAGCAGGCCTACATCTGATTATTCTACATAATTTTCAGATTTAGGTTTCCACTTGCTACCTAGTTAATTGGTCATTATTAGTGGTTGCGTAACTTGTGTAATTTATTTTTGTGTAAAATATTTGTAAATATATTTTGATGAAGGGCATTGCAACACTTAACTAGATCTATAGTTAAGCGCTTAAATTAAACCAAGTTAAACTGCATTTGCCTCTAAATATTTTATCAGGTTTATAGAGATGGGCATGATGGAACTCCGCATTATTCATTGTATGCTAGACAAAATGATACAGCATCATTTAAAACACCTGGACCAGGCGCATATAGCCCTGAACAAGCAGGTGAATCAGCTCATCCTCGCCCACCTGCATACAGCTTTGGTACCAGGTACCGTCATCGTCTTGGTGATAACATGCCAGGTTAGTGCTACACTTGAAAAGATTTAAACCAAATTAGACACAAGAATCAATAAATACATTAAATTTTATGAATGAGATCAAATAGGCCTACAACAGAATAAACAGTTCACAATGTTGGACCATAAACTTATTTTACATATAATTGCTGTTTAGTATTTTCTCTAAACAAGTATCTGAAAAATAACAATTATGAAAGAATCTTTTTTCAGGTACATTCAAAAATATTTTAGAGTGAAAAAGTTTGACTTCTTACTGATGGACCTCTAATTTAAAAATAGCAGTAATAACTAAAATAATCTATGTGTTTGTATGTTGAACCAGCTGCCAACAGCTACACTCTACCCAGCATGATTGGACCCACAGTACAGAGTGGTAAGAGACAAGCTCCATGCTACAGCATACGAGGTCCAGCTAACAATGGAGCTTTTGCAGGGGATTGTGTTAAAGTAAGAGATTATTTTTATTTTGTGCTGACTCCATCAGCTTGTGGAATACAATTTTAATAGACCATTATCTTAAACTAATATTATGTATTTCATGCCCCCTAAATTTGTGTTTTATCCGATCTGGAATATCATTTTTACTTAATGGATTTTACAGGCACCAGGACCTGGTGCATATAACCCAACTGATCCAAGTGTGTATAAAGATAGAGCACCTCTGTATAGCATGACAGGACGCAACTTGATGTCTGGTGATGTCACTCAGAAACCAGGCCCAGGAGCTCATAAGCCAGATGCTGTAAGTCATTAAATTCTGTTTTCTTTAATTATTTAAATCTTAATTATTAATCGTGAAGGAAAAAACAATTCCATTAAATTAGTTTCTGATTTTACATTTAAGTAATAAAAAAGTATTTTTTACCTACTACTGTTAATTTTCCTGGAATTTAGTATTAGCCGACTCTGGATATGTAAATAAGTGTTTAGGCTTAATTATAATAATCTCACACTTTTGCTTTTTATGCAGTAAAATGTTTGAAAACTTGAATGCTAGTATATACTTGTGTACTTGAAGACTGTTTAATTTTTTCTTCTCAGAACGTTGTGAAAACACAGAACCCATGCTTCAGCTTTGGAATCAAGCATTCTCCTTATCTAACAGGCCTTGTAGTGGATATTCCAAGCATTGAATGTGCATTAAAAGATTGATATTTAAGTTGGCAGTCATCAATGATATTTAGGAGTGATAATAAATTGTCAAGGTGCTGAAAAAGTAGGTATCATAGTGTTTACATTTACATGTTAGTGTATTGATTTTGTCTTTAAAAAATTTTTTTCAATCATACTAAAATTTATAAATACATAGATCTAATTTATTATTAAACATATTTGTATGCAATTAATAACTTCATTCTAAGCTAAGAGATTCAAATATAACTAAATATGTAAGTAAGACATACTCTACTTTTTTTCAGTGTGTTATGTAGAGATAATACCATCATATCTCCTGGGTGATTGATTAATTACAAGAAACCAAATGTAAATATTAAAGACTTTCCATCAAGTCTTTTTAAACTGGTGATTTAAATATGAAAATAAAAAAGCTAATATAGAATATATTTACTTAAATGTTGAAAGTCACCTCTTGTCATCAATAAATAAAAATAATTGAATAACGAAATTGATATTCTTTTATAATAAAGCTATGAAACTTTAAAAACTAGACCATCTTTTTTTTTGAATGTCAGCATTTTACATTGTTATAAAAATGTGTTATATAAATGCTCCAAAAGACTAATGTTAATGTTAAGTATTGGCATTGATTACTCTTGTCTGTAAACAAATGTCCCATTATCTCTCAGGATATTCACTTCACTTTAAACAGTTTTACTAGCCCTAAAGTTGTGAGGTCAGTGGGTATTAAAGGAAAGGAGTCTGACATGGTGACCTGACCCAGACTTCCACAAAATGTTATGCTTGAATCATCACATTTTGTGGAAGTCTGGCTCAGACATTTGGTCTGGGTCATTTAATGATTCATACTGGCACATAGATAACATACTGTTGAATGGGATTATCACATCAAAGAAAACTTTTTTAAAAAATGTTTTTTTTTAAAAGCTTTTATTCACAAGACTAAGTTTAATGTAGAAAAAAAGACAACTATGAAAAAAATAGCACACTGCTAGAGCACACATCATTTACAAAACTTAGCTAATGAAAAGTATTAATATTAATACCTTTTTTCTAGTACTTAGTTGTTGAGAAAATTTACCTGTTACTTTAAAAAAGCAAGCTAACATGAAAATTATTGAACAGTTATGTAGGTCTTATTCTAATATCTAATATAGCAATTCACATCTTTTTTGTGGAAGCTTGGCTATACATTTCAAATGTTACCATCTAATTTAAAATGATGAATCAAATTAAGAAGAAAATAGGTAAAATAAAAAAAATAAAACAAACAGGGATATGTTTAAGATTATTGCAAAAAAAGGTATGGGTTTTTTTCAGTATTGTAATATTGGTGGGTTGTTTTCATACTTCTGTCATTAATTTTGAGAAAACCTATTGCTACAAGTTGAAAAATGTTTTTGTAGTTAGGCTAAAATGACAATGACCACTATCTTCAAGCTTCATGATGTAATCCGCACCAAAATACTTGATATGTATAACATAGCTTATTTATAGATTAGTCTCTTATATGATTTTTACATATTTAAATAGTTTCCCTCTTTTTACTAAACGGGTAAACTTTTTTATCAACCAAAAGATTTAGGAGTATACCATAGTTAAAATCAAATTGATGGTCAGTTAAATTTGAATGGGCTGGATGGGTAATGGCTGAATAACACATTTCGTTTCTATCTATGAGTAACTCATTTGTTAAAGGAAGACAACTTCAAGAAATATAAATAAATTTCTGCTTTGAATGGTGAGGTAATATCTTGAGTTCTACCTTAAGATTTTAGCTATCTATTACAGATTGGAGTTGGGTGCACTCTAGGAAATCTAACAATATATTTTAAAACAATGTTCAACACAATGATGTTCAAATTTGACTCAATAGTCTGAGGTAATTAAAAATAGCTGTTGATAAAGGTAAGGTAAATGGAGCTGCTAAAGAAAGTATACTGAAAGAAGGATGCTGCAATTATAGCTGCAAAATTAAATGTAGGTTGGATTTGGTTAAACAAAAGGGAAAAATTTACAAATATCACACAATAATATATATATTCAATAAATAGAGATTTAAAATTTTCACATCAAGGATAAATAAATTACTAAAATATTTAAAACAAAGTGCAGATATACAGTGAATGAAATGCGGGGTGCTGTTAATTTGCAAGTTGTGTATTAGTTATTGAAAATCACATCTGTTACATTAGTGGCTAGCAGCATAGAATATTAATGCTAAATAATGTGTTTAAGCATGTAGGCCCAAATATATGGTTAAAAAAGCCTAATGTCTGTCCTAGGTGTTAAATCAATCAGTAAACAATTATATTACCGTTCATGCATTTGTTTACTTGCAAAGTATGCAGATTGTTTTATTTTAAAATTGTTACAACTTCTTCAGCAATGTGATCTATCTTCAGTTTACATTAGTATGGAAATATTTCCCTTCTTACAGTTAATAAACTACAAAGCAATATTAAGTCAGCACAAACTCTATCAGAGCTGAGTGCAGATATCTGATTGGCTACAGGGTAAAAAATCAATCTGAGGCTGGGTAATATGTAATGGTGGCAAAAGCTCATACATTTGGACACATTGAACATATTTCATACATTGATCATTACAATTAATAATTAGTTATATAATAAAACTAATCAGTCAGTAAAAATAAGCACCTAAAAGCTGACTCAAAAAATATTTGATTAAGTGAATTTCATTAGATATTTGCTTGCTAAAATTAAGTAGAATGTTACCCATTTGGATATTAAACAGGTAAAAATCTGGTTAAATGAAAATATATAAATATGTTCTATATTTAGATAAATATGACAATATATAAACTTAAAAATTAATTAAAGTAAATCATCTGAACACCCACTTTTATCACATTTAGTTTCACATCACAACATAAATCCACGTTCACATAAAATTCAAGCCAAGTTAAATAAGTTAATTTTTTTAGCTGTACTTTACAACCATATTTAAATTGTCTTCAATGCAGTGACAATCTAACTACACACAGGACAGCCAAATTTAAACTTAAATCTTTTTCACCAAAGTAAACATAAATATTGTATTCACATAAATATTCATTCTTTAAAAACCTTTAAAATTAAAATGTTTTTTTTTGTTTTGAAGCTTACAAAAATGACGAGTAAAATTACTAATTTAGAAGTTGATTTTTCAACACACTGATTTCAATGAAAAAAAAAGGACAATGTATTATTTTAAAGCTGATTAACTAAAAATTGTAAAGTAAAAATAACTTGTATTCCTTCCAAGTAACATCAGTGGCAATTAAAGGAAGTTTGTAACATTTATTTCTCAAGAGCAAATCAACCATTTATTTGTACAAAATTTGACATCAACACTTACATACACATTTTTCCGGTATATAACTAGCCTAATAAAAATTTAAAATATGTCAAAAACAAAAAGGCACTCGCATAATATTTATTAGTGTATATTCATTAAAATACCTATAGATAAATTTATTTTAAAGTGTAAATGGTGCTTGCTTGGACAAAAACATGGGTGATACATATTATTTAAATGTATTTAAATATTTAAGAACAATATATGAATTTAAAAAAATAGTATCTTAAAAATTTTAAAGGCAATAAATTCAATTACTAACTAATCACAAGCAATATATAAAGAAATCATTTGGGTCAAACTGACTCAATAAAAATTAAGCTCTGAGGTCTACTATAAACAAAAAAAAAGGAACTTGATTTATTACTTACCCCAACCATTTAATATAAATTATAGTCTTAAAAAGTGTATGTTAGAATTACAGTTAACTTTTAAAAAAGAAACTTTTTAGTTAAAAGTTAAAAACAATACTTTTGATGCATAGGTATAATTTTGTTTCTATATAAAGCACTTCAATAAAAAGCAACAATGTAGCACGAAAAAAAGTGCAGAAAATTCAATATCAATAATAAAACAAGTATAAATATTACATGACGTAAAAAAGATTATTACTGCCACAGTACAGGGAAATATATTTAAAAATAATTAATTAACTGGTTACAGCTCCAGTATAGAACATTCTTTATTTAGTGCTGGCTAGACTTCAAACAGGTTGGGCTTAGAGAGCAGCAGATGTGGCCAGCCTAAAGACATTTAAAAAGATGGAATTACAAACAAAAATATAAATGATACAATACAAACAAAAATATAAATGATACAAACTTAAAGCAATAAATAAAAAGATGAAATTAAAAACAATATAAAAACCAAATATTTCCCACTTCCCCCCACCCCCACTTTGATATCCCAACACTGTGTTTTTATTACTTTGTTTTGAAATAAAACTAAAATATTTCTTCACAAAATTAATATAAATTAAAATATAAAACTAAGTTAAACAATAAAAAATCGATTATTTACTTATAATTTAAAATATTTTATCAACTTTTCTTTGCAACAAATAGTAATAACAATATAGAAGAGTCACTTAGAAAGTTCCAATCATACCTTGCATAGACATGTTGTGCAGGTGTCCTCCTTCAGACTCCACTGCTCACCATGAGAGTACTTTGTACCCAGGTACATGCATGTCAGCTGAGAGAGGTCCTGGCCGCCAGTTTCCATGTTCCATACAGCGCAAGGGTTATGGTCAGCACAGACTGGACAGCAGTCCCCAGCTTGTCTGATGGGGTTCTCACACGACTGTTTGGGGCAGACCAAAGGCCAGCAGGTCACTTCTCCATTCTAAACATGAGAGATAATTAAAATGTTATGCGGCATTAATCAGGTTAATCCTATTATAAAATTGACTAATTTATTCTTTGTTTAAAAAATAAAAATATTTGTATGTCATGGTTTTTGTTCAAGCAAGCACAATGCAATATTACATTTAAAAAATTATCTTTAAGGCCTATGTACTTTATTTAATATACTATGATAAATAAAGTTAACCCTTTAAAAACTGTGACTAAATTAAACAAAAGTGATTGTTTAAGTTTAAGTAGCATCCAGATTTGGATGCAACTGGATGTGCCTTGAAATTGAAAGAATAATAAAAAGTGATAATAAATTGTTAAAACAGCACAAAAGTTTCTAAACTTTATAAAAATAAAACACCAGATTCTATCTCTAATTACAATAGATGATAAAATTAAAAGGTAAAATTAATGATGAAATAATTGATCAAAGGGAGTACAGACATTTTATTCTACACCTTATCCTTGGTACTGGCCTTAACCTCCAAATCTAATCCATAACAGTGATACAGGCAAAAAAAAAACCGTCTATGTGCTGGCATTAATACAGAGGCGTAGCGACCCTACCCGGCATCCGGGGTCAAACTTTCAATTTGGCACCACACTCTGGAACAATCTTTCAGTTTGCGCCCCCCTCAAACTTTCAATTTGCACCCCCCCCCCCATATTTTTAATGCAAAACTGCAGCTAAAAATAGGTTTTAATTTGTTTTTACAACCCATTTTGGCGCCCGCTAAGGTCAGCACCAGGGACCTAGGTACCCCCCCCCCCCCCCTCACTACACCTCTGCTATAATATCAGTGTTAAAGAGGGTATCAACATCTATATATATAATTCTCTTCTTGGAGACCCTAGAAAACAAGCTGTATAAGCGCACCTAGCAGTCCCCTCTCTTCCTCTCTAGGCATATCACTGTCGCTACCACCCCCATCCCCACACGGTCTGGTGAGCTGTGGTTTAAATGTTTAAAATCGTAGAGACGGATTTAGTGACGATTATTTGGGGCAGATAATTTAGTTTGAAACGATTTTAAACTTAGGGGAGGTAACTAAGAGGAGGCTGCTTTAACGGGAAGGGGAGTTGGGGGAAAGGAGGGTTTTAGTGTTTTAAAGAAATATTTTCAGTGGCAGCATTGGTACTGTCGAATTCATAAATTATGAATTACTGAAAAGTAGAAATAACTAAATAGCGGAGTATCATATGCCGCGGGTCGGCTTGTCAGTATTAAAGTAGAACCTGTTCATTTACTTACCAAGCATTGGCAGCGCTGACAGTTGAACAGCCAGGAGTCGCCACTCTGCTTCAGGACCCTTAACTCCTGGTGTGGACAGCTGCTGTTGTTGTTACAGCTGGGACAGCATTGCAGGTTCACGTTAGGGTCGGTACAGTCACACTGCATCTGTTGGCAACTAGTGCGACCAGACTAAAGAAAAATATAAACAAAATTTATGCTCTCTAGGCCCCTTATGTTTAAAACAATTTCAATGACCATTAACAATTTAGTGAAAGTTCTAAATCATTTTGATGTTATTTTCTTGTTTCAGAAAATCATAATGATGCCACTTAATTAGCCCATGAAAAAAAAAATCTATTTCCAAAATTCTATAGTATAATAGACTTGCAATAATAGTTAAATACTAATAAATAGTCTTGTCTTTTTCTCTATTTCATTAATATGTAAGTATAGAACTAGATTTAGATCTAGATGTATTTTGTTTAATAAAATATTAATTGATAACAAATTGATAACATTTTCAATAAATTAAAGACTCAAAACTAACAAAGACAAGAATAAAACTTACATTACATCTGCATTGTTTGCAAATATCCCTCACTGATTTCCATGTACTTCGGTCGTTATATTCACTGCCTTCAAAAACACAGCCTAACACAAAAGTTTTAGATAGAAATGTGCTAAGTATAATACATGGAGTAGTCTACCTTGCATATAATCTAATTTATAGAGTTGTTTCCCTTTGATCAGTTTTATTTTTCTTTCGTCATCCATAAATCGATTTTTACCTACCCCTCCTCTCCGTCACACGTCGTAACAAAAAGCCAGACCCCCCCCCCCTAAAATGACGTCACACCTCAGCCTACAACCCCCCCCCCCTTCTAAATTGCAGTTGAATTTTTCTTAAAACATCGATATTTTTCCAAAATCTTGTCAGAACTCTGTCCACATAGAGTATTTGGATCAATTCCTATTACAATTTATTAAAACTCGTTTTCTAACATTGTTTTTTTATAATGCAAAAAAGTGACTCACACCATCTGAACCCCCCCCCCCCACCCCTCGTCACACACCGTCACGAAATTACGGACCCCCCCCCCCCCTTCCCCTAATAGTGTGACGTCATTTATGGACGACCCCCAAGGGGCATTTGTGTCACTAGTGTCCAATTGTAGACTCTTCTGAAAATAGGTGTTTAAGGTTGTTAGTCGTATTTGTAATCTCAGATTTAAATTTTGTGTTAGAGATAAGGATTAGTGGAGAGATTAGCAAGTTAAAATTCGACTTTCAACAACATAAAACCCCCTTTTTAACATAAAGATGATTAATGTAGCATCATCAATGATCGATCACTGGTGTTGTATATTATCCAGGCCAACTCACTTTTCTTGCAGTTTCCTCTTGCAGTACATTGACAAGTGTATCCACCGTCCGTGTTGACACACTGTGTCGTGTTGTGGCACGTGTGGCCTTCACCTTCACCTTGACATTCGTTTACGTCTAGTAAAAAAAAATGAAAACAAAATGCAGGAACAACATACTACATTACACTAGAACAAACATTACTGATAAAAGAAGCAAAGAATACACTGCCTTAAGACACTGATCTCAATAACAGCAAAGGTCAAGGTGGGAAGAAATCCCCTTCAATATTACCATATAAAAAAGTTTTTAAAAACCCACGTTTTCTGATTGAACTAAAAAGTAGAAAATAAATGCTATACATCACAATAATGCAAGCGATCACTCTACTATAAGCGATCAAAAACGTGGGGCGCCGAAGTAAAAGTTATATTACTATTGATTAGATAATACTATTGACTTTTATTAGGGAGCTTGTAGAGAGTCAACAGTATTAGAAACTTTAAGAAAATCACGGCGCCCCACGTTTTTGATCGCTTATAGTAGAGTGATCGCTTGCATTATTGTGATGTATAGCATTTATTTTCTACTTTTTAGTTCAATCAGAAAACGTGGGTTTTTAAAAACTTTTTTAATGATTATTATTTTCTACTTTTTAGTCTTTGTCTGTTTGTTTGCATTCAAATCTTGCTATCGATTGTATCTTTTCACTTTTTTGTTGGGTAAACGAAGACAACTCGTAAAAAGACAACTCGTAAAAAGACAACTCGTAAAAAACACGTTGTGTGAAATTATCTGCCCCTAAGCCTGTCGCTACGTTGGATCGTTCGCTTCACTGCGCGCGAGGTACGCGTCGCTCGTTTTTTTTTTAATGGCTCGCAGAGGAGAATTATATATATAGATTATATAGCGGTCTAAAATGCTCAATAAAATGTTTCCATTGATCAATTTAGTAATAATAACAATTGAATATTCAATGGTCATCCAAAAGAAAGCTTCCCTGAAAATTTCAGCGCGCTAGCTAACTGGGAAGTGCCAGAAATTTCGATCGCAAGATTTGATTGGAAAGACAAACACACAGAGAAAGCAAGTTAAAGAAAACGTGGGAAAAAAAAACGAAGAAAAGGGTGAGGTTGGATCTACCATTACATTCTATTAATAGATTATGTAAACTTCAAATAGGCCTTGATCTGGATTCTAGATAATTATTAATAATTACTATTCATTTTAAAAAAAAATGGCAATGTAAAACCTTTACGCATCAACATTTAGAAAGGCCTGTATTTTATAAACCATTTAGTGAATTTAGTGATTAATTTCATAAACAGATCTAAAAGTCTAGATCTAGGTAGTCTATCTAGATCTGGATCTAGATCTAATATAGATCTAGATTTCTAGATCTAGATCTATATTAAATTATTTTACTATTAACTAAAAATGCGATCGTAAAAAAAAAATGCAACTATCGTTTCAGGAACCAATTTCCTGTTATCTTCTGCCGTTACCTTCGAATTAAAAAATAATCCGAGATCTGACAAAGCACCCTCGAAGCATGTCTGGGGGTATTAGATTTCATTTCAGGACCAGTCTAGCAGGTGTGTGTCAGGTCACGAACACGATCGATCACACGCAGAACGACCTTCATTATCGCACGCCTTGATTTTCACCTCATCACGCAGACGATCAAGGCGCTTAACTCTCGCAGCGTAATGTACGATAGCGGATAATGAGAGTTCAATGCTCTTTTTGTTGTTGACAAGGAATAAACTTGACTCTAGCTCCGGCGGGCGGTCATCGTGATACGTCATTTTTTTTTTGACATCGCTTATCGTTTTTATCTTAATTAATACATTCCTGCCACTTGGTTTTGTACGTGACCTCACAGTGCGCATGGCATGCGCGAAACGATCAAGAAAAACAAAATATGCGCTGTTAAATGCGACGTTAACTTACTGGAGATTCAATACTTGAACACGTGGTTTCAGCATAGAAATTTACATTACAACTCGCTTGAAAACACATAATTATTTCGTGTATATTCACACACAGTTTTTTTTACTAACACTGTCAGTAACAGGTAAAGACCCCACCACACACAATCAGTAGCATTGCTATAAAGTAATCGTAGAAATCAGAAAACTACTAGCCTAATAATCATACCCTAATCCACATCCGAATTCCGTACAACTCCTAATCTAGATGCATCTTATTAGGTAATTAGAAATTACTAGTAATAACCTTATGCATATTCCATCCCGTAATACCTAATATGTGGGCGTTCGTCGTAGGGAGATAACCAACCAATGTTAAGGCTGAAATGTTTTCTATTTAATAACACATAGTATGTAGGCTACAATTAATAATCACTAGAAAACATTGCTGGTTGTTTGATACTAGGTTGACTTACAATCAAATACGTCGGACTTCCTTACCGGAAAAATATTTTGTATATATATTTTGTATATATATTTTGTATATATATATTTAGTATATATATTATATTATATTATATATATATATATATATATATATATATATATATATATATATATATATATATAATTTTTGGTTCGGGGAGAAGTTAGGGTTGTAGACATGCATTACCCTCCCCCCTCCGAAGAGATGACTGAAAGAAACTCTGACTACTGTAAATACTTCTAGATCTATACACATCAATATTTAAGTGTAAGTACCGACAGAGATACACTATAAATCAATATCTGAGTACCTGAGCACTATGAATTATAGAGTAGCCAGCTTAAGAATCTCGATCATCAAAACCCGTTTAATGGTAAAGACGAAACAACTACAGCTTGACACAAACGCCCACAAAAAATTGAAAGGTTACCAGATCAATTTACATTGAAAAATTGACAGACATTGAGAAAACTCAGGTGAAAAGATGTTTAATCTATCAAACCATTATAAACCATTATATTATAATAATTGTAAAAAAAATATCTAGCGTTTAGAAATATCTAAACTGTATTCGATATCTGTTCCCACAATTAAAATCCTTCCCTTTTTTGGACGAATTTAGTGCGAGTAAAAATGTATATTTCCTATCGTGGCATTGTAAAAACCCAAAACGAACAAGCTAAAAACTTCAAAATTATATGTATAGAAATTAAATCTAATTTCCAATGTGGCAACCCTGACTGTATCTCCTATTCACAAGGGTCGTTTACGTTGCCTTAGCGACTATTAGTCAGCGCGTTGACGAGTGGTGATTGGTCGGCAGTGAATGTCACTTGACATGTTAATCAGATTGAAGCCTCTCGATATAATGAGCACGATATGAGCTTAGGCGCTATTGGGTTGGGGGGGGGGGGGTCCTCACTCTTAACACTACAAGCTTTAGTGTTATGAGTCAGGTCTGTTAAACACCCCTTAATAATTTAGGCACCTCTGCAACTCTGAATTAGATTAACTTTAATCAAATACTTTTTTCCTTATCCCCCCCCCCCCCCACCCCAGTCAATTTTTTTATAACGTCGTTGGTCATATCTCTATTTTATAATTGTCTGTGGCTATTTATTTTTTCAAAGAATCACACACATGAGAAGTTCAAGAGATAATCATCAGCATCATCTTTTTTTCTCGTTCATGCCCAAGACACACGCGACAGAAGAAGTAGAGTTCATCTGTTGTAATGACCTCGGCATACTGTGTGGTCACCACTATGCCTTAACTTGAGCCAGGTACGCTTCAGAGCTGGGTGGACTCCGTGACGTCCTACATACTCGAGCCCGGGATTCGAACTCGAGACTTTCCGGTAAGCAGTGGTAACCTCTACATCCGACCACGGTCTCTCAACTCATAAGATCACTAACTCTTTTCCCTCCACCCCTCCAGAATATATTCAACACAAATCAATACTAAAAAATTATCTGCCATACAGAATTATACATATCGTGGGTGGCATGCATAAAGAACCCACCCACAGCTTTAATAAACAGTTTTCTTCTTTCCCCTTCAAACCCGGACCGTATATAAAATATAATCAAAGTAGCCTTCATATAGGAGATAACCCGCTCCTTAACAATTTTATGCGGTATTTGCCCCTGACACTTCTTATATCGATGAGTTATTAACCCCTTAACGTCTGCATACTATTTATAGCATGTTCGACCCCCCCCCCCCCCCTGCGTCTTGGGGAGCGAATAATTATTTATTAAATGGTTTATTGCGAACAACCAAATAAAATTTTCAAAATTAAAATAAAGATAACAGCTCGCACATTGCTATATAAAAACATGATACATACGTTTAATAAGCCGTATTTACACTAGACACTGCGAATTTATTCTAAACCACAGGTAATTATTGATCTTTGCACACACTGCTTTATATCTTATAGACCCAAAAATACCTTTTCTAATTATCAAAGGTAAAAGCCTATTAGATCAAAGGTCATTTTCTCTATGACGTCACGGCGTAAAATTGTTGCGTTCTAAAAAAATTAACCTTGTAACACAAACCGACCTCACAAAAATAAAAATTTGATATTTTAGCAAAAAATATAAATCTTTTCATTTTTTTTTAACTTGACGCAAAGTATTTCTTGATTGCGTCATTGCTATAAAATATATTTTATATTAAAAAGTTCATTAAAAAAACCCCTGCAAAGTTAAGACTATTTCTCAAACACCCCGCGACACTGAATTTTTGAAGTCCAATAACGAGTTATTCCACAAGTCAATAATTCATAAAGCAATTCATAAATTACAAAAAAATACATTTAAGCTAAAAAAAAAAATCTGGCTCCAATGTAAGATGCTATTATAATTAAACGGAAATACAATCTAAAAACAGATATTCAAAAAATATTTAAGACATAACTTAAGAAAGATGGTCCAATTCTATTTTCATTCATTAATACATACTTTTTTCTTACACCTGTAGTGCTTCTAAGATAGCAAATAAATGCCAGACGTATAAAAAATAAACATATTTATGTAAAATAAAAACGGGTGCAAACAAGTAAATTGTTTAATTATAAGAAACGTTTTTTCTCCCACTGATATAAACTTACAACGTATCCAATCTGATTGCTTTGTTTTTTTATTTACTCATAATTGATTGGTTAACGTTTTCATGTACCTACATTAAAGTCAACCCACTGTTTAGTGTTTGTATATACTTACGATGTATTTTATACCATCGTTTAATGCCGTGAAATGTCAGCCAGTTTGCGCATTGGCCGGCCAATGTACGAAATACGCTGACAGTGCTAAGCTCTTCTGACATTGACCAAGAGGGCCAGCCAATGCGTGATTTGACCGCACTTCGGGCTTTGACCGTAACTAACACACATTTAGGTGCGCATTTGCGTATATTTTACCCGAAAGAGGGTGGAATGGCACTAAAATTTCTTGGGGGGGGGGGGGGGGGCAGTATTTAATGCTTTATCTAGGGAGGTGCCGTGACAAAAATTCAGGAAACCACCGCCTTTGATTAAACATTATACCATCTACAACAAAAGTAAACGACTATAAATATAAAAACAAAAGCCAACTAAAATATAGAAAAAGCAAACAACTAAAGAAAAAAGTCAACTAAAATATTTTAAAAGGGGGACGGAGTGGTCTGGCGGTAGAGAGCTGGACTACTTACCCTGAGTCCCTGAGTGCACCCAACTCTGATGGGTACCTAACTCAAGTTAGGGAAAGTTAAGGCGGCTGGGCATAGTGCTAACCACACTACCTCTTCATATGCCGAGGTCACAGAAACAAGTGAACTCTACTTCACTTGCACTATTGACCGTCAGGTTCGAAAGGGAACTTTACTTACTTTACTATTAAAATATTTAAAAAAGCCAACTAAAATATAAAAACGCCGACTAAAGTATAAAAAAAGACCAAAACCTTCCCTTACCTAAGCACAGACTCCCATAGTGGTTATCTGGCCAGCTGGAGTGGTAGCCCTCAACACAGTCACAATGGTACCAGCCTGGCATGTTGATACACACGGAGTTCACGTGGCACTTGGAGATTCCCAGTGTGCACTCGTCGATATCTGCACAGACAAAAATAATGTGACTCACACAATATCTGCACAGACAAAAATAATGTCACTCACACAATATCTGCACAGACAAAAATAATGGCACTCACACAATATCTGCACAGACAAAAATAATGTCACCCACACTCGTCAATATCTGTACAGACAAAAATAATGTCACTCACACTCGTCAATATCTGCACAGACAAAAATAATGTCACTCACACTCGTCAATATCTGCACAGACAAAAATAATGTCACTCACACTCGTCAATATCTGTACAGACAAAAATAATGTCACTCACACAATCGTCAATATCTGCACAGACAAAAATAATGTCACTCACACTCGTCAATATCTGTACAGACAAAAATAATGTCACTCACACAATTGTCAATATCTGCACAGACAAAAATAATGTCACTCACACTCGTCAATATCTGCACAGACAAAAATATTGTCACCCACACTCGTCAATATCTGCACAGACAAAAATAATGTCACTCACACAATATCTGCACAGACAAAAATAATGGCACTCACACAATATCTGCACAGACAAAAATAATGTCACCCACACTCGTCAATATCTGTACAGACAAAAATAATGTCACTCACACTCGTCAATATCTGCACAGACAAAAATAATGTCACTCACACTCGTCAATATCTGCACAGACAAAAATAATGTCACTCACACTCGTCAATATCTGTACAGACAAAAATAATGTCACTCACACAATCGTCAATATCTGCACAGACAAAAATAATGTCACTCACACTCGTCAATATCTGTACAGACAAAAATAATGTCACTCACACAATTGTCAATATCTGCACAGACAAAAATAATGTCACTCACACTCGTCAATATCTGCACAGACAAAAATATTGTCACCCACACTCGTCAATATCTGCACAGACAAAAATAATGTCACCCACACTCGTCAATATCTGCACTGACAAAAATAATGTCACTCACACTCGTCAATATCTGTACAGACAAAAATAATGTCACTCACACAATCGTCAATATCTGCACAGACAAAAATAATGTCACCCACACTCGTCAATATCTGCACAGACAAAAATAATGTCACCCACACTCGTCAATATCTGCACTGACAAAAATAATGTCACTCACACTCGTCAATATCTGTACAGACAAAAATAATGTCACTCACACAATCGTCAATATCTGCACAGACAAAAATAATGTCACTCACACTCGTCAATATCTGTACAGACAAAAATAATGTCACTCACACAATTGTCAATATCTGCACAGACAAAAATAATGTCACTCACACTCGTCAATATCTGCACAGACAAAAATAATGTCACTCACACTCGTCAATATCTGTACAGACAAAAATAATGTCACTCACACAATCGTCAATATCTGCACAGACAAAAATATAGTCACTCACACAATATCTGCACAGACAAAAATAATGTCACTCACACTCGTCAATATCTGCACAGACAAAAATAATGTCACTCACACTCGTCAATATCTGTACAGACAAAAATAATGTCACTCACACAATTGTCAATATCTGCACAGAGAAAAATAATGTCACTCACACTCGTCAATATCTGCACAGACAAAAATATTGTCACCCACACTCGTCAATATCTGCACAGACAAAAATAATGTCACCCACACTCGTCAATATCTGCACTGACAAAAATAATGTCACTCACACTCGTCAATATCTGTACAGACAAAAATAATGTCACTCACACAATCGTCAATATCTGCACAGACAAAAATAATGTCACTCACACTCGTCAATATCTGCACAGACAAAAAAAATGTCACTCACACAATCGTCAATATCTGCACAGACAAAAATAATGTCACTCACACTCGTCAATATCTGTACAGACAAAAATAATGTCACTCACACTCGTCAATATCTGTACAGACAAAAATAATGTCACTCACACTCGTCAATATCTGTACAGACAAAAATAATGTCACTCACACAATCGTCAATATCTGCACAGACAAAAATAATGTCACTCACACAATATCTGCACAGACAAAAATAATGTCACTCACACAATCGTCAATATCTGCACAGACAAAAATAATGTCACTCACACAATATCTGCACAGACAAAAATAATGTCACTCACACTCGTCAATATCTGCACAGACAAAAATAATGTCACTCACACTCGTCAATATCTGCACAGACAAAAATAATGTCACTCACAGTACCCACACTCGTCAGCCATCTTTCATGATATAATAATGTGAAATGGAAAGTAAAATTGTAATGTAAAATGTATTGTAAAGCTGTAATGTAAAAATTTTGTAATGTAAAAATGTAATGTAATACTGTAATCACCTGTAATGTAAAAATGTAATGTAAAAATGTAACGTAAAATGTAACAAAAACTGTAATGTGAAAAAATAACTATAATATAAAACTGTAAGTAAATAAACCGGGAGTGATCTCCCCTAAACTTTCTCGAATATTCTAATATAACACTACGTGGGATGTCAACTCGGAATATAGACATGATTTTTGTTTACTTAAACTTTTAAAAATAGAATAAAATCTAGTAGAAAAAAAATTGCGCACCAAGCGAGCACCAAAACCAAATGTGCGTAATAGTGCGCAATATTATTAGTACTTTATAAATGTACATGCGTTTTTTGAGAAATCGGAAATAGCGTAAATTAGTACTTCCGGTCAACGGAAATTACTCAAAATTAGACAGAAGGTAGAGAATTAGATCTTTTACTTACATGTGAAATTTCATTTATCTATCTTAATTAGTACTCAAGTTATAGGCTTTTGAAAAATTCAAAGTAGAAAAAGTACCACTTCCGGTTATCGGAAATCGCTCAAAAGTTGATACGGATCTACGACTTTGATATAATACTTATATATGAAATTTCATCAACCTAGCTGTAACGGTACTCAAGTTATCGTGTTTACACACGGACACACACAAGGACAGAATTGGATAATCCAGTTTTTCCAACTCCATTACGCATAAAACGCCAAAATTTTTATATATCTGTGTTTATAATTTTTGCCCGATTAAAATAAGTCTTCTATATCCCGGATGTGATGAAGGACTGAGGAGTAAAACGGTGAAAACTGTCCTAATTTGATGTGATTTTTGTGCACGATTACAAGACTTTCTCTATACTTCGTATATACGAGAAAGTAAAAACTAAGTTTAAAATTGTAACGTAATAAACCGGGAGTGATCTCCCCTAAACTTTCTCGAATATTTTTATATAAAATAACAGGGGATGGGAACTCGGGCTATAGACATGATTTTTAATCCATTTTAAATACTTAAAGTTTTAAAAATAGAATAAAATCTCGTAGACAAATTAATTGCACACCAAGTGAACGCGAAATAAAAAAGCGCATAATAGTGCGCAATATTATTAGTACTTTTAAAATTTACATTAGTTTTTTGAGAAATCGGAAGTAGCGTAAATTACTACTTCCGGTCAACGGAAATTACTCAAAATTTAACAGAAGGTAGAGAATTAGATCTTTTACTTACATGTGAAATTTCATTAATCTATCTGAAATAGTACTCAAGTTATAGGCTTTTGAAAAATTCAAAGTAGAAAAAGTACCACTTCCGGTTGTCGGAAATCGCTCAAAAGTTGATACGGATCTACGATTTTGATATAATACTTATATATGAAATTTCATCAACCTAGCTGTAACGGTACTCAAGTTATCGTGTTTACACACGGACACACACACAGACACACAGACACACACACACACAGACATACGGACAAGATTGCAAAATTATGTTTTTCCGTATCAGTGAGGTGTAAAACGTCGAGATTTGTAAAAATCTCGATTTTTTTTTTGCACGATTACAATACTCTCTCTATACTACGTATATACGAGAAAGTAAAAATGTAAAGTAAAAATATATTGTAATGAGAAAATGTAAGTAAAAATGTAATGTAAATCTGTAGCTAAAACTGTAATGTAAAAACTGTAATGTAAAACTGTAATGTAAAACTGTAATGTAAAAGTGTAATGTAAAAGTGTAATGTAAAAAAGTAATGTAAAAATGTAATGTAAAATGCACAGCAAATATGGAATATAAAATGGTATGTAAAATGCTTTATAAAAATGCAATGTAAAAATGGGATATAAAATTTAATGTAGAAGGTCTTTATCTTAAGTCTTAAATGTTAAAAAATTGCACCCAATTACACGGATGTAATAGGCTGTTGAAGTGGAGTCCAAATGGAGTCCTGCCGGTTGGCGTTTTTTTAAACCAAATCTGGATATTTTTATTAAATCTTTTTTTTAAAGTTAGGAAAGCTACTTTCGCTTTTGGCTTCAAAACAAATACAAGTTTTAGAATCAGAATTTTATGAATTTAGATCTAGAATTCGAGATAGATCTAGATTAGATTCTAGATCTTTCTAGATAAAGAATTGACTTTTCAACTTTTCAGATTTTAATAAAGAATCTAGATTCTAGATCTAGAATTTTATTTAGAATACAACCGACTCGTTAGATTTAGTTTTAGTCATTTATTTAGTGGTAGATCTAGGGACCGTAGTCAGTCTAACTAAAGTTCTAAACTCTAAAGATTTTTTTAAAGAAGAGTAAAGAACTAAAGAGATTCTTTACTAAAGAAGACGTCGTAAAGTCAAGTGACCAAGTCTAAAGAATTAAAGAACTTTCATAATTAGATTCTACTCTAGGTTACTAACTTAGTACTTAGATCTAGTACTAGGCCTAATTAATTATTAATGTTAATAGTACACTAAGTACAGTATAGTATACACTATACACTAACAGTGACTAACACACTAAGTCTAAGTTATAAACTGTAGATAGATATTAATAAGATATAGAATCTAGATCTAATTATAGTCATAGTCTCATATAGGCCTAACAAATCGTCAAATAGTATTATTATTTATTTGCTAGATCTAGGGCCTAAGTATTTTATTTAGATCTAGATCTCTGCCTTATTTTAGTTAGACCTAGAT